CGCCCCGCCCGCCCCCCTAGACGTTTCCAGAGCTGAGAGTGCGAGCTCCCATTGGGGGGGGGACGTCAAGGAAAATAACATGGGAAGGGGAGTTCTTGATGTCTGACTGTGTCCTCTTTTCCCTTGCTGTCAGTTGAGCCGGGATGCAGTGAGATGAAGCCGGCTGTGGGAGAGGAGGAGGGGGTTGAGCCTCACTTTGCCCCATGGTTGAGGGAGATTTCTCTTTCAGGGGATGATACCCTCTTTTTAATCTCTCCTTCCCCAACCCTCAACTGTTCCTGGTGAGAGAAGGGCAGGGTTTGTCTGCTCCCTTCTGCCCGGGTTCTCTTGGCCGGACCGCAGGGCTGTCTGAGATGCAGCAGGTGTGTGTTTTCAGCGTCGCCCACCCGCTCCTGATGTGCAGCCTGAGGTGGAGGCTGTTGCCTTGCCCAGGGACTGGATGAGGGGGTGGGAGCGCGGCACACCACCCACATCTGTTCAGTGACCTGCGGTGGCCGCGTCCTTCTGCCTCACGTTGGATAGTGGTGGTCGCAGCCCCGGTGTGTGTGCGTGTGACTAGAGGTCTGGTGGTGGGAGCATCATCGTCCCCAGACTTGAAGTGTGTCTGTGTCACTCTGCCCTGCTCCGTGTCCCAGTTCTTTCCCCCTTCTCCCTCCAGGGGTGCTTTCTCTGTGGTCCGCAGGTGTGTGAAGAAAACCTCCACGCAGGAGTATGCAGCAAAAATCATCAATACCAAGAAGTTGTCTGCCCGGGGTGAGTGTTCCCTGTCTTGACCTCTTCCTGAGGGTGCCTCCAGGGGCTATGGTTTCTTCTGAAGAAGCCCCAGAAATTGGGGGTTGTGCGTTTTAGCACTTGGAGAGGAGTTGGAATTTCAGACTGGTTGGACTTTGTGTCAGGCTGAAGCCAGAAAAGGAGTTGCATGGGGGACTGGAAGTGCCCAGGTACAAACGAATGAAGGAAGAGATGCAGGTAGCTGCAGTGGCCCCCAAAGGCTCGAGGGAGTTCGGTCTTCAGGGAGATGGAGGATATGGGGGTAGTGGGTGGTACGGAATGGGGAGCTCTTAATTTGGGGCATTTGGAGCCCTCTCCCTTTGGGGCAGTGGTGGCTACTGCAGGCCTTTCCTGGTCCCTGTGCCCCAGTGGTGACTTAGGATGGAAATGCAGTAAGTGAGCAGCTCTGACAAAGCCAGCCTCCCCTGCCCACCAGGCAGCAGAACAGACTCCCAAGGGAAGGGAATCTGTAAACATCAGGGGAGGCTGCTACTGGCGAGGGCTTCTTAGGAACAAATTCTGCCAGATGAACTTGATTGCTTTTTTGATCAAATTACAAAGTTGATGGTGCAGCAGCAGATGTAGTCTGTCCTGGGTGGAGGGTGATGCCTCATGGTCTAGAAATCCCAAAGGCCTGGTTTGAGCAGGAACTGCACTGCCTCCAAGTCTGAGGAGCATAAAGGCCAAGGCTTATGGGGCCTCACTTGCGAGATCCTCCCAAGTACCTGAGGCTAGGAGGGTCAGGGCCTGTCTTTCACACCTTGAACCTACACTCTCTGAACCTCCTATTGGGTGCTTGCCAAACTCACCTCATCTGATAGGTGTAGACCCAGCATTGTGTGAAGTGCTCTGTGAACAGGTCTGGTGAGTACAGAGGTCAGATCTTGGAGGGCTGCAGGGTGCAGTTGGGGAACAAAGGTTGTGAGACTCAGAGAATGGAATTAGGGCTGGGCAGTAGGATGCCATAAATATATTAGGAGCCAGGACACATGCCCTGGGGAAGACATGGGCCTTGGCCAATAATGACCCGGGTTTCTCTGGGATAAGAGACGTAATAGATGTCCCAAATGCTCAGAGAAGCTCTACAATTTCACAGAGATGACATTGGGCTTCTATCATGTTGGCAGTTGTTCTGGGACCTGTTTAGCAGGGCCTTGTCCACCACCTGGCTGGGGACTCTCTCTCCATCCCCCTAGTAGGGCACTAATTTTTGACTCCCATCCAGCTCCACCTCTTGCTGTTCGTGTGTATTGCCTATAAAGTTGGACTTGTTTGTTTTCTTTTTCTCTGGGTACCTTGAGTCTGAGGATGGTTGCCATAGAGATATGTGGGCAGTCAGATGCCCTCCTTCCCTGGAGTAGGGGTGGGGGGGGGACAACAGGGGCTGGGATCTCTGGCAGACATCCTCTGGCCAAGGATGGAAGGTGCAGGCAGGAACGATGGCTTGAGGCTGGATACCTCTCATGCCCACACAGCAGAACCCTGATGCATCAGAAACGGGGCTGGTGTCTGGTGTCTCCAGTTGATGACGCAATGCTTTGCTATCCTCATCTCACCAGTGTCCTCTGACCCAGGGGTAAGGGAAGGAGAGACGGCTGGGAGCCGAATTCTGGGATGTGAGGAAAGGTGATGTGGTGACTTCCTGCAGCTGCCTGACTGGGGCTTTCATTTCCTACTCCTTCCCTACCTGCCTGAACTTCCATGACCTGTGTGATAGCATCGCTTTCCCTTCCTCACCTCCTTTCAACCTTGTCCCATCTTTCCCAACGGATATCTTTCCCTGGCCAAACTGGATGAGGTTTGATTTCTCTTTGATTTCCCCCCCTCCTCAAGAAGAGGATTCTTGTGTAAAAGTATATGCTTCAGACAGAAACTCCCCCTCTCCCAAGATGGATATGCCAAGACTGGGCTCTGTTCTGTGGCTTCATGTGCCAGGTTGACTTTGGGACAGAGGCACAGATGATAGGCACAGATGCCAGCCAGAGGGGTCAGAATGTGTAAGTGCCAGCCAGTACTGTGTGGAGGTGGGAGAGTGGAAAGGGGCTGTGTTGGAGATGGAGGGAACAAGGTGGAGCTGGACTATAGGTGTGGGCATGGGGGATGTGAGCTCCTGGAGAGAACTGTGCCAGGGTAGCCATGGGCTGGTGCCCATGGGGTTAGGGAGTGAGGGCCATGGCTTCCCTGCAGACTCTCAGTTTACACTGTATATTTTATAAAGGTGCAGGCACTGGGGCTGGGTTTCACTCGTCGCTGTCTGTTTAGGGCTCCGCAGGTGTTGGATTTCTGTGTCTGGGAATGTCGTGGGCCCACCAGGGTCATCTATGAAGGTCTGAAGGGGCTTGCTGTGTTCACTGGGTCTTCCTGCCTGCTATCTTTCTTGTTTGTGATTCTCTGGGCTACAAACTGAAAAGATAGAGGGTATAGAGCTGTTTCTTCTTGGCATCCTCGGTGAGGTGGCTGGGAGGCAGGGAGAGGGATCACCTGGTCTTCTAGGGGGTCCAATTGAGACAGGAAGCCTTCTTTTGGGCTGTTGTGTCTTGTCTCTATGGTCTCAGAGGCCCACATTGGCGGCTAGGTTGTAGGGTGGGGAGTTCATGCGGATATGCATTGAGCACTGTCTTTGTCTGCGGGCCTGTCTACATAAAGTCACTGAAAGTCACATAACGTCACTCCGTTTGCTTCAGAACCGTGATAGGAGTGGAGCTGGGTTCTTAAGGGAGCCCATGGTTCCAAGCTTAGCTCCACTAGGCCGAAGGAGGCATTTAAAATAGGCTTGGATGCAGGAGCTAGTGGGCCAGGTGATGGCAATGATAAGTCGTTATTTTAAGATTTAAGAGCACCCCCCTCAAGGAGCCTGAGCCCTTATGTCTTTTTTTATTTTTAAATCTTCATATTCCCTTCTTATCTTTATTCATATGCATACAGATTTTCACCTCGCGGAGCATAACATTTTATATCCTGCTCTCTTTGCTTATATCCAAAGTATTTCCCCCATATTGCTACAGTTGAAGGGCAAATGGTCCTTTCTTCTACGTTGTTTAGGATTTATCCCTAGAACAATCAGCATCAGAAGAAACTTCTGTGTATGTACCATTTATCTGGATTCCAGTTGCTTTCACTGAGATGGATACTGGGGTAATGCCCTTGGCCTTACTAAGAGATGCCATTGGAAATGGTGTTATGAAATCTGTTATAATACTTTAACATATTTATTTAATCTGTACATTCCATGTGAAGAAATTTCTTTTGAAGCTAAATGTCAGCAAAAGCTTTCCTCTTTGTGAGGACCTGGGAGGTGAGGGAAGGGTCCTTATGTGTTTCTTTACTTCTTCATGGACAGGCCCTAGCAAAGTGCCTAACTTATGCCGGCCACATACGCATTAAATGAATGGGTCAAGAGGACTATGTAACCAATCGTGGTTGCCTTTTGGCTTTGGCTCCCAGGAAACTCAGAGTCAAGTTGCTGGAGTCCTTGTACCCTGCTACAGGCTTGGGTCCTCCCTTTCTGATGCAGGGAGCCAGGCTGCAGACCTGATACGGCTGCTGGAAGAGAGGACAGATGAGGATAAAGACCTGTACTTGGGGCATAAGGCAGAGTGGGAGATGTAGGCAGACATTTAGCTGATGATTCCTCCTTCCTTGTCACTAATGGCACTATAGGGCCACTGTTGAGATCTCTTCCAAGTAGTGATTTTGAATTTATTGTGCATAAGGATCACCCTGAGTACTGGTTTTAAAAATGCAGATTTCCGAACTTTAGCCACAGAGATTCTGCTTTAGAAAGTCTAGGGTGGGGCTGCAGAATCTGCATTTTTAACACATGCTCCAGTGAATTTCATGCAGGTGAAGCATGAGCCACTCTTTAAGAGATGCCACCTAAAATCTGCAACAACAGTTGCTCTTGTCATGCCCTCTGGAATTCAACAGACACACCTTGGCCCAGCCTTCTCCAGATTGTGTGTCTGCTGCTATGTGGCCATCTGTGCACATGGGCTGTTCTGTGATTAGGGGCCTCGTTCTGGGCCTCCGGATTGGGGTGTCTGTGTCTGAGGCTGCGGCAAGCTGGGTTGTGGCATGTTGGCCACCAGAAGGGTAAAGGCTGTCCCTTTCTGGGTCCAGCTGGCCCTGGGGACTGAAATGGGATCCCCTGGATGGTGCCAGCTGAGAATCCCCGCCCCCTTAGTGTTGGCCTGAGTAGCCCCCATGACATTTGTGTCCCCTGTGGTATCTCCCAGTGAGACTTTCCTGTTAAGGATCTGGGTGAAGTGAGGGGAAGAGAAGGGAGGAGGAAGCAGCAATGCAGGGAGTGGGAGAAGGAAGAGAAATCCACACAGCACTGGAACACCGGCCTCGAGGAAGCATTTAAGGAGGCTGTATGCAGAACCATGCCTTCCTCCTGAGGGTAAAACAGGCCAATTTCTGTAAACAGGAAAATGGGCATCCTGCATATCGGTGATGGAACGCCTCTACCTTCTCTCCTGAAGGGATGGAAGCCGACTGCAGGTCCTTCTGTGCGAAGGCTTCTGCCGGGTGGGGCGGCTTTTGTCACGTGGTCACATTGAGCTGGGGGCCTTAGCGCACACAACACTGGCCTGTCCCCCTCCCCTCCCACCTGCCTTCTCAGAGTGACTTGGGGTGCTGCATCACGGTGTGGGGATGGAGGTGGGAAGGTTACCCTGTCCCATCAGGGAGGCCCCTGCCTTCTTCCTGCTGCTTCCTCTGGTCCCTTGTCACCGTACCCTTGTTAGAAGCTGTGCTGAAACCCTAGAGGTGAGTGGCTGACCCCATTCTCTGCTGAGGCTGGAGACAGGGAAGGGGAGGCTGTGTGTGACCATTCCTACTCCCATCTCTATGCTTGCTGCTCTCTGAACAGCTTTGGCAGACCAACAAGGGCCTGATCCCATGGGTGCCAAAAGGGTGGTGACAGGAGGACATGGGCACTTTGCACCTCTTGAATGCCTCTCTGCAGAGCCCCTTTGTCA